TTTTTTTTAAGAGGTTTTACACCGTGTGCATCTCGAAGGTTGAAAATAAATGACTTGTCGTGGACGGGGGGTTAAACAAATTGGTGGGGTAAAAGCAAGGGCTTAGCCCTTGCAAGGAAAAAAAAAATGAAAAAAAAAAAAGAACCAAGAAAAAAAAAAAAACCGGGAAGACGGCTTATATAAGAAGCTAGGGTTGGCCTTATCTTGGGAAAAAATCCCTCCTTTCTTGTAAAAATTGAGGCAAAAAATTCCAGTTAGCGGTTGTGTCACACAAGGACAACTTATTTTGTCCAACAACTATGACCTTACCTTACTTAATCCCGCCTTTCACACTCCGATTATCCCCCCGTGGTCGAGTCCCGCTCTGTGCTTTAGCTGAAGTTCAGTTTATCCAGTTGTCCAGAGTTCAAATCATCGACCAACTGACTGCGTCCTGCCAACCATGCTGTTAACCATAATCTGTTCATATGATTCTTTGAGTGAAGTGCCTGTAGACTAGTTTGAGCCGCTTAGTGCACAGGTGTGTCTGGTTTCAGTAATGATATTTTTTACGGGGATGGGACATTAACCAATCGCCCAACCCCCAAACTGGAGAGCCAGGCGTTGCAATTCCTCTGGCCTTAAACCCAAAATCTGGGCAAGCACGGTTGAACCTTCCTGGGACAAAGGTACCAACTGGTATAGTTTCCAGTGTCACCAAGGCATCAAACCTCCCCTGCACCACGTTAAGACGAAACATTCTAAGCGGTCTTTTTAAAAAATTTAGGCGTGTGTGGTACACTTTATGCCTTCTCTGTTTCTTCAGATATGCCATTTCCCTTATTGACAAGTCATTTTCTTAGTGAAGCTGTTCTATTTTTCAGTTGTTCTGGACACCAACCAGTGGTACCATTCCACAAAGATTGTTCCAACTGGAGAATTAAGCATCACGATTGGAGCCGAATACGACTGATAAAATTCTAATTCTACCTAATAAACAGATTCATTACTGTCATTAGCCTGCACCACAGTCGAAATAACATGTGATCAGCCGCTTCGGTGTCTCCCCTTTCCTAAAAAAAACACACACAAAAAAAACCCTGTTCGCAGGTACAACACAAAAACCGAACCTCTGCAGGCTATCCTATTATCAGCAAGAGCATTTAGGTTTCTTTTTCTACCGTTCCACTCAGACAAACACCAGAATATTGTGTCTTCTTTTTCAAGATCAGAAATCCAGCAGTTTTTTTTAACTCGCCTCACAATAAAGTCATCCACAAAATAAATTTATATATGTATTACCTAACAGTAAATTTATTTATAGCTGTTAGAGGGAGAGTATGTTAAAAATTCTCCCAAGTTTCTTTTAAGCTATGCTAGAAATAAATTTCAATATTGGTGACAAAACCTCTTAGAATAATCCCTCACTTTGTGTCCAACAATAATGTTCAGTCTTACTCAATATCAAACACCACTGACAATTTTGTGTCTACACCCTGAAAATACGCCGCGTCCTATTCAGACAGTTATCCATAGTCTTTCCAGGAAACCTATAAATACTATAAAGATCACTGTAACATAATTTGTATCAGTGTAATTTGTATCTTCGTTACCCCTGCGACTGAGCAGAGCCTGCGTCGATCTTCCTATATGAGTTGATTCATTTAGGACTATCGAAGGAGACTTTGCTCGAGGGGGGGGGGGGGGGGGGTAACAAAAAATTATCACCATAACACTATTGATTCTCTTGTTTTTTTTGTTCCCTTCTGCCTCGGCGGTGGGAGGGCCCTCGTCCTTTTTTTTTGTGTGGTTTGTTTTTATGAGGAGACTGGGAGGGGGCGTGGGGGGGGGGGGGGGGGGGGGGGGTATACTTTGACTCTACTTCACCATGTCGATCGCACTTTGGGCCTGACTCTCGCCATGAACCCCTCGACAAAATTTCAGCTGCCATCTACGTACTTCCGGGATGGGCGCTCGCGCTTCCACGGCCCAAGTTTTATTCCCCTGGGGAACACCAGCAAGTACCTGTACCTGCGTACATGCGGCATGTACTAAAACCCGAAGCAACGAAACGAAACCACCAAAACGAAACGACCGAAACGGTCACAACGACCACAACGAAATAAAGGAACCGCCGAAACGACCACCACGAATTCAGTAAACCAGGAGTAAAAGAAGCAAAACGATCAAAGAAAATGATTGAAACCTATAAAGGTGGAATGTTGAGGAAATTGCCGATGTCAGTCCCTTAACAATTGTCTCAAATTTAGGGACTTCTAAAAGAGAGGGAAAGCTACTCATCTCCGCAGACAAAGAACGCTTTTCATTCAACTGTTCAAGGTACTTTACACACCGATCAATACAACACAACATTTTTGTTAGAAAAAATCAGGTGAGTTCAGACTTCGTGCGTAAAATTTATGCAGCACCTGGAAGATTGTTACCGATAGCTGAAGCTGACAGAGTTTTTTGTCATCTTAAGATGTTTAAAAACTTTTAAAAACATTTAACTGTCTTTTTCCACTGACAATGTGATCAGTTCTATAATTTTGTCATGCAATGGAAGCGCGTGCTTCGATCGTCCTGAATGTTGAATGAGTGCAATGCAATTTGTCATGCAAAATTGTCAAAAACCGCAGAATTAGTAATGGTAACAGGACTGAGTGGAGTCCAATTTGGTCTGTAATCATAACTATAACAAAATTCTCAAATCTGATTGGCTATCAACTGCCCTGATTTCAGTTTTGATTTAAAAAAGAGCCTTATATATCACAAACTGTTTTAAAGTTATGATTAATTGGTAACAGAACTTCATGTCGTCCAATTCGGTCTGTAATCATACTCGTGATTAAACAAATCGGACTCCCGCTACGCGGTCGTCCGATTTTGTTACTCGCTCGTATGATTACAGACCAAATTGGACTCCACTCAGTCTTGTTACCATTACTAATCATACGAGCGATTGGACGACATGAAGTTCTGTTACCAATTAATCATAACTTTAAAAAAATTGTGATATATAAGGGTTTTTTTAAAATCAAAACACAAGAAATTCCAAGATTTTTTTGCTAGCAGTGAAAAAAAAAAGCCATTTAAGCGCGGGCGTGATGGCGGGTACTATCCAATTACTTAGGCATGACGCGTACTGTCCTATTAAACTGTCCTATTAAGGCTGAAATCAGGACAGTTGATAGCCAATCAGATTTGAGAATTTTGTTATAGTTATGATTAAAGGTTTAAATAGGGCAAAAAATAACAAATTTTATCCGAAGTCTGTACGATAAACAAACAGCGCCTTTTAGCACTGTTTACCTCAGATGTGACGTATAAAAACAGTTAAAAAGTATATAAGGCTGGTTTACACACCACCAGATTTGTCGGCAAGATTTTGTGAAATAAAGTTGACGAACACAAAAAATCCGGCCTGATTTTTTATTGTGACCTGCCTTTTAGACAGAGGCGTAAATTGGCGGCCACGGAGGACTACGGGGGTGTCAGGAGCCCATCAAATTTGATGGGCTCCTGGGGGTGTCTAATAAAGGTGCTGTAGGCGGGGGACTGGGTCATTTTGTTTGTGAAGAATTTGTTTTCCAAGCCTAATCTATTTAGTCTGCTACACTGCCGTTTTTAGTGTCGTCACGCAACGCTCCTCCCCACTAATGGGGAGGAGCGTTGCGTGACGACACTAAAAACGGCTGTGTAGCAGACTATAATCTATTGTGATCAAAGGTGCATGATTGCTATTTTTTGGGTGTACATATAAGACCATTAACTCGATGTGACATTTGTTTCATTCTTGGACTGTTTGCAAATTACTTTTTCTCTAAAATCACTCAGTCTTTCCCACAAAAGTCATATGAATCTGCCTCAAAGTTATCTAATTTGTGGTTTAAAAGTTTATTATTTGATTTTAATAACATCTTTAAAAACAGGGGCTGGGTAAATCTATATATATTTAAAAATAGATGAACATGTAGGCGCAGAGGCCTTCATAGATGACATAGGGAAACAGGGACACAGGGAAACTAGTAACAAGGAAACTACCATTTCAATACGCGTATTAAAATGACGTCAGTTGTTATGGCGCGCTTAATTGATTCTGCTTTCCTCATGTTTTATAATGCAGTACTCCAAGCACGAATTTACATGCTGAGTTGCACTGCTGACCTTTCTCTCTACTAATGGCTTCCTCAAAGTCAAAAGGTGTCGACGAACTTGTAGTTCTGTTTTCTGATTTACGAGAGAAATCGCTGAAGAGCGGAGAAACACTTGAGGCTGTTCGCTTGGAGTTTCTTCGAGAAGTCGAAAAGGGTTCTTCTAGTTTTTTTTCCAAGATCAGAGAAAAACGGCTCTGGATTTTCCTCATCTTACCTGTTGTTATGGCTGCGGCCTGTTACTATTTTGACGTCGTCGAATGGTTAAAATTCAGAGAAGAGCCTTGCCTTTTGAATGTGAACGAGATTTTTATCGAAGTAACGCGAAAGAAAACCGATTGTTCTCTTGTGTGCGAAGGCCTAACAGAAGTGCCAAGGGTTTCAGACTTGTCGAAGGAGGAGTTTGTGACCAAGTATGCGTACACTGGAAGACCAGTTGTTGTTATGGATGCGGCAAAGAACTGGTCGGCTACAGAAGTGTTTAACTTCACGTTTTTTAAGGATCTCTTCGAGAAGAACAAAGACGCTTATCGAGTAAACGAAGAAGAATGCCAGTTCTTTCCATACAGAACTGAGTTTATTTCACTTGAAGAGGCATTTAATATGTCCAAAGAGAGATCGGAATGGAAAGGCGAACCGTGGTACTTTGGTTGGTAAGTTGAGTCAAAGCCTTAGCATTGACGTTTAAAGTTAAAATACAAAATACTCTGAAAAGTGATGGGAAAGAAAAAAATTGGTGGAAGTGAGAAAACAAAAGCTGGAAGCAGCTGATCATTTTTAATTAAGATTCAAATCAGTTTCTATTCAGTTGTTTAAATGGTTTTCTAGACAAAGCATAACCTATGTTAATATATATCAAATGAGAATGAAGCCGAAATTTTAAAGTCAAATTCATCTTCTGAAGTTGTGTTTGGTTAGTTTAGAGGGCTGTCATGACACAGCTGTCTAATGATATCCATTTAATGCAGCTGGAAAACGAGTTGATTAGTTGAGTTGCGAAGTGAAGTGAAATATACACATACCCTATAGAAATCTACCAAATGAATCAATCAAGAAAAAAAATTCAATCTAGAAAAAAATTCAGTATGTTTTTTTTAAAGAAAACGTTTTATGCCATAATATTTTCAGGAGTAACTGTGATGCAGCAATCAGACAAGAATTGCGTACTCATTATCAAACACCATATTTTTTGCCAAACCAATCAGAGACCAGTGAACAGGATTGGATCTTTATGGGTGGACCTGGTCCTGGTGCTCAAATTCATGTAAGTCACTTCATTAAGAAAAGAACAAAGTAAAATAATAAACCCTGTTGTTGGCATTCAGAAAGCTTGTTGGTTAAAAATGATGAAACTAACAAAACTAAATCAGGGATGTCACGAAGACTTCTTGTTGCTGGATATGTGCGATTAGTAGGCAGGGAATTGAACAAAAGTAGCTAGGGGGCACACTCATAACAGCCAAAGGAAATCTCCATCTAAGGACCTTTAGAGACAGTCCCTGCTAAATGAACCCTCAAGTCCCAAGATGGTGTCTGAATCTAAAAGCAAATTTACCTCTTTGTCTTCTGCTGGATTGCTCTGATTCCATTATTTGTATGTGTGAATATTTTAAACTTATACTAATATTATTCTTCAAAACTCCCACCAACATATATTGTAAAACTGGCTATAATGTGTAAATTTTTACGTAATTAATTGTTCTCTGTAACTTTTGCGAACACCATATTGTTTCTACTTTTTGTAATGTCAGTGTATTTGCCTATGCCCCACCTAGAAATCAGCTTTTGTTGTGTGTGGCTTAGCGTAGTGATTTGTTGAGTGATTGATAAAATTGGATTGAAACTGCGGCAGTGACAAGGACGGTCACAATAATAGTAAAAAATAGCAATAGGAACATGGCTTTCTCCTCAATAATGCCAAAGAAAGTTTGACTGTGTAGGGGTTGGGGACAGAAGTGGTTCAGTGGACTTTCTCTTGAACAGTTTTTTAACTTTCCCTCTTATTGTACCATTAGGTTTCTCAAGGATAAAGTTATCGCTGGTTTTATATACACAGGAAAGAGACTGTTCAGTCTTAATATAGCCTTGTATGGGCACACACAAATGGAAGGAAAGATAATTTTTATGATCAACACAATCAATCATGCAGCATTGTTAAAGGCACTTTGCATTAATATATTTTTCATGATTTTCTGCAGATTGATAGTGTAGACCGTCCATCATGGCAAGCTCAGCTGTCAGGCAAAAAGACGTGGACCCTCATCCCTCCCCCAGAGTGTGAACATGTTTGTCAGTCCATGACAATAACAATAAACAAGGGAGAGATTTGTAAGTCTGCTTCAGTTTTGATACAGATTTTCGGGATATTTTCTGCTTTAGAAAGGAAGAGGAGCGTATGCTGTGAGTAAATCCTGTGGCAGACAGTACATGGATGGACAATAGGTTGTGCTGAAGATACCTGTTTTGAGACCATTTTTGTTTCATGTTTAGAACCTGAACTTGAAATATATGTTGTAGTTAATTTTTTATCTACAGTAATTTTTATTTTTCCATTGTTTCAACTTCATTAGCATACATTGCCATAACCAAAAACAAAAGAAAAACAAAAATTACCTGAGTTAAAAAAAAATTGCAACATATTAGATGATATACAATAAATGTACAAAATAATTAGGACAGACTTTGCAGGTGACAATGTTTTGGTAGTTTGAAAGACTGAAAAATACAAGACCTACACATTACCTACACCACAGTGCAATAGTCAACCAACAACAGATTTGCATTAACAAGGCAAAAACCCCTTCCCTGCCTGACCCATACTAAATGGGACACAAAATTATGTTGTTCAATATGTCAGCATGTTAATGGTACACACTCATGTGCCAAAATATTGGTATACAAACATCCTTTGCAGCATGCAAAGAAAGTAGTGCCCGATACCCCAGGGCTAGTGAATTTTGCTATCGGGCAAGTGAATATTAATCTCAACTTGCCCGATGGGCAAGTGGAATTTTTTGAGAAATTCAAATTACAGAAGAAAGGTAAAATCAATTCTGCTCATCAAAACGTTTTTGGGGCTAGTTCAAATGACGTTTCGGCTAGTAAATGCTACCTTCAGCTTGCCCGAATGGTAAGCTGTAAAACTGACTTTCTTTGCACCCTGGTTTGCCTTTTACAGCTGTATCTTATGTATTCTACGAGATCAAAGGTCACTTCTCACAGAGTAGCCTATTTATGACATTTTTCAATGCCAAGTGTTAACTGTTTTGATTATGTGATTGCATTGTTTACTTCCAGTTATTGTCGACACAAACCAGTGGTATCATGCAACCAAGGTTCTGCCAGGAGACCTCAGTATTACAATTGGAGCAGAATATGATTAGAATAAATCATTTAAAGTGAAAAATTCATTAAAGCAATTAATAATATTTTCTTTAGAAAATATTATACAAGACCATGTGATGTTAAAGAATATTTTAGTAAATTAATAGTTTTGCTCTCAACTAACATCACAATTTAAAAAGTTTTTCCAAATCTATTACAAATTCCAGAAAACATCCATGCTTCCCTACCCTTGAAATTCCCATTTTTAGTTTTAGATGTTTCTTTAACTTGGCCTTTATGAACCCCTTCCCCTCTCACAATTTCCAATGACCCTTCATGGGGTGGGTATGGATATTTTCTGGAACTACATAAAATAAATAATTACATAATAATAATTATAATGATAATAATAGTAACCATCATCATCATCACCATCATGAAGAGAGCGATACAGAATGATAGATTTAATTTATTATTTAGTTGGAATGCAAGTATTTATGTCTTTCACTTATAAATTAGTGTTAACTGTCTTTTAAGAAGTCCCAAGAGTGAGCATAAATCACCAGTAACATTTCAGTTCAGTTCATTCAGTTTCTTGCCTGATTAACAAGGCTTTACATATTTCATCTTGTTCAATGTTAAGTTTAAAGGTAGGATAGACTAACGATGGCAACACAGTAACAATGAGCGAGGATTCTGACATCAATGTCGGGATTTCAAAGAGCGATATGGATCTGTAGACGGCAATGATATTTTTGCCGAAAGCATATTAGTTTTGTTGATCTTGTTACAGTTATGAAAATAAATGCCTCTCTCTTTTAAACACCTCCTATCTATTAAATGCCCCTGCTTGGATCCCTATTATTAAATAGACGCCCCAGGCGTTTATTAGGTCATTTATAGTATTTGCAGTTGTTGGTGGAATAGTCCATTTTCGAGTTCGCTATGACCCCTGAATTAAGGAAGTGAAGACGCATTTTTTACAGCCTTAGCCTCAATCTGAAGTAATATATTCACGAATTCCAACGAGAAAAAGACCTGTTTATTACTCTGTCTATTGTGTATATTCAGATTTCAAACACTCACTTCCCACAATTTCTGAATATTCTACTTTACGTCGAGGCTAACCCTGTATGAATGTGTCGTTAATGTTTATATTCAGCAGTAATTTTTAATTCAAAACTGGACTATTAATAGATGTACAACCCATTGTAATACAGTGCAATAACTTTTATTTCAACACAATGGTGATTAAAACGTTGCCGCTTATAGGGTCGTGCATATAAGGTAACTAAAATAAAATATATATATAATAGATATAATCAATAAAAGTATATTAAAATTGTCTTAATACTATAAATAGTTATTGTTGTCATTGTTAGGCAATGTTTGTGGAGACTTTGTTTTCATACAACCTTTTCTGCTTTCATTGTTAAAACAATTTTGTCCTTATGTTAACTAGTACCTTTTCAGCTTTATTTCCATATCAAAGAAAAGGAAGATGATTTGTGACAAAGCAAGGTCAACTCCAGCCTTGCAGGAGTCATTCAAATGCTTAAGCTGCAAGCACACAACTGTAAATTAATGTTCAATTGACTGCTGGAAAAATTAGGGTTTAAAATTCTTACAAGCATGCATTTTTGTCTTCCACAAGTTTAGAAACCTCTTTGTGTAAACAATAAGCACTTTATTTATAAAAGTGACTCTTGCCTGTGGGGGAAAACTGTGACTTTGGGTAGATTATTGCCATGAATGCCCATTGTTCTTTTTTTTGCTTACAAACAAGAGAAAAATTCCACTGAGTAAATAGCCTGCATGGCAGATGCAAAAAGAGGAGGGGGAGGGGGGAGGGAGAAAAGTGCAAAAGCCTCTCCCTTTTTCCCTTCCTCTCTATCCCCTCTTGACGCCTGCTATGCAGGCTACTGAGTAAATGGCGATGGCTATATGTGTATCTTGCAAATGAATCCTCTCTTTGTTTTCCCAAGACCCTCAAGAAACAAAACTTGAGGTTTTGAACCAGTCTAGCATCAAGTGTTTGTGATAAATTCCAACTCAAAACCAAAACAAATCATGTTATACATGGATCATTCAACAATTTGCAGAGAAATAATACAAGTTATGACTTTCACATAGATTTCCTGCAGTTTCAAGGAATGGTTACGTGTGAGTCTTGAGGGTTAGTGAGACCATAGAAAGTTAGATTTTTTGACTCACAGCATGTGTGCACTCTTATAAATCAAGTCAGTCTTAGGTGTGAGCACATTATTATGGAAATGTTCCTTTTAAAGGCTTATAGTTGTAGTGAATGAAGAAGAGTTACACTTTATACCTTGGGACATTAAAGATAGAATGTTTGCTCAGCTCCAGAAAAAAATCATAAGGACTTACTTAAAAAAAAAAAAAAAGATTTACCCCTGGTGTTGTCATGAGCCATTTGGGCGAAAGAAGGCAAAACTACCCAACACCCTGTTAGTTGAGCACTATGCTGGTAGAGTGACACTGCCCTATTGATCAACTTATATCTTCCGTTTCCCAACTCCTCCTGGTTTTTGTGGCTTGTCTTCCCTCATTTCTTTCCTTTTCACTCACAGATAAACTGGCACTAAAGATGATTGAGCTTTACCTTACCCATACTTAGACCCAGTTCAGATGCCAATCTTTCCATGAGCCGAACCTAAGTCGAATTAAGGCCGACCCAGATAATTTAGACAGGCTGAATTGTTTCAGACGCCGATCTTAATTCAAGACAAACTAAATTCAAAAGGAGAAAAATATTCATTTTGGTCAAACTCTTTACTAAATACATTATAATAACTTTTGCATTTGATTCAGTACATGAAGAATTCGGCATCTGTATCAAAGCTGTTCCAAAGTCGAAATTCCCAGCTGGGCTAGGCGGGAAGAACCACTGAGCCATTCCAAATTGAAACAGGTGTTCCTAATTGATTCAGACGCCAAACTTTTTATGTACCTAATTCAATGTACCTCATTTGGCTCATGAAAAGTTTGGTGTCTGAACCGGCCCTTAAGCACCATACAGCAAAAACACACACACTTATTTAGTTAGAAACCTAAAATAGTGTATGCTGGGTTAAGTTTCCGAGAGTATATTGGAAAGCACCTTCCACAAAAATGCCATCTAATGTGTCAAGCCCTGCTATTTGTGGGTAGAGCAGATAATAATTTGCACACATTTCATGATGAAATAGAAAAATAAAAGTAATGATAGGCATAAGTAAGATCACAGAATTACAAAAATAACAGGTATGATGCAAGCTGTATGAATTTAATGATTTTGTGACTTATTGATAAAAATGATTTAAAAGGAGAAACATGGGAAAAAGAATGGTTTTCGGAGGGCCAACTCAAGTTGGATTTATGGTCACCTATCCATCGCGAGAAAACACTAGCCATGCATTTTTAGTTGATATACATACACAAAGAACTTCAAAACAGAACAAAAAAAGGAATTGCATCTGTTGATAGATGTAAACGTAATATTTTTATTCATCTTTTCATGTGGCCAATACTTAAACAGGGTACATAGGCCTTGAATGGCAAAATAAAATGATGAAAGAGAGACTGAACATCTTGAAGGCTCTTATTTCGATATTACATACTCTTGTCCCTTTTTTAATAAAAACTGATCTCAATGACTTGTCTGCCATAAAATAACATAAAACAGACAGCTTTTTTCCTTCCGAGGAGAGAAGGTGATCTAGATCAAATCAAACTCTTCTCTGTGTTTTGTATCAAGTTACTACATCACTAGCCTAGGGCTAAGCTATCAGCTATCAACATCTCAAGGATAAAATCTTTTTGCTTAATCTTCCTGGTTTACACAAGTTTTTTAACTATATGCAAAGCTCAAATATAGGGAGAATCTCAAATGAATGATAGAAGAATGTGATGGAAATCTTGATTGGTATCATCTGAATTCATAAATGGGTTGACTGTGATCTGGGACATGTACAAGATTTAATGATTGAAACCTAACAGAGAGAAAGAAAGAGAGAAAAAAAGAAAAACAAGGATTATGCTTCAGTTGAATCTCCTTAATTTGTACACCAATGAAAAGAAACAGGCATCCATGCCATCGCAGAAGGATTATTGTATTTAACAATATATTAATACTTTTACAAACATACATACATAAACTTTATTTACACTTGAATTTTTGAGTAGCTTGCAGTGTTCTCCTTAAATTTTAGCTCAGCAGGTAGGGGACCATTCCTGACCGGTAAGGCAACAAATATATACCAGAGGCACACTTTCCTGGGGGAGGGGGGAAGTGAGGTGAGGGACATGGCCTCACCCTCCTAAGGAAGTTTTTGGGAGTTAAGTTGTCTGAAAAGTCATTCTCATATTTAAAGACTTTTTTTAGGCTAATCCGCTTTTGTAAGCTATTGGCCACCTATTGCCCTTCCAACCTAAGGTTAACCCCCCCCCCTTTTGTTTTTTACAGTTATTATAGCATTGACATCTTCTGAGAGAAAAACAAATTGTGCCATCATTATCATGGTCTATACTGTCATAGACCATAACTCTCGGCCAAAACAGCTTTATTTCATTGAAACTTCAAGTAAGTAATACAGGCCTTCTGATAAAGTGTAAAAAATTATGTGGGGGTTCCATGAGAGTCATAGTGTTGCATAAAAGGGCAACCAGCATCTTATGCAACAAATTTCCAAATTTTTTGGGGGTAGTTTTAGAAATTTGCAAAGGTTTGCATAATATTTCCAAAGCTGAGGAACCTTAAATTAAGATAGGGCTCAGAAAAAGTCCTGCCCAGTGGTCCACAACAGGTAGAGCCTTAAAGCTTACTTGCCCAATGGGCTAGGGTACAGGCAAGCCATCCTTTATCAAAATCATTTACTTACGTAGCGTTCACACTTGGTGCCTGAGCATGGTGCCCGTGTACAATACTCGCTGGGCACTAATGTGAACACACCCTTTTTTCAAGTACCCAAGCTAGAATTCGGGAATGGTGCCAGTGTCCGAGTTTGAGGTTCCAAAGTGGGCACCAGGTCTGTGTGTGCTACTGCTTTGCACTCGCTTCTAAGCTCATGTTTCAAAATGGCATCTGACAGGGAGAAATGGAGTAACTATGCACACAGTTGCATATCGGGTGCTCAAGGTGTGAACGCAACACCAGTTTGTGTTGGTACTCAGGCACTGGTCTCCGAACACCAAGTGTGTACAGCCCCTAAGACGAGCAAGAAGTGGCCCTGGGAAAGCAAAATGTGTGAGCTGCTTGCCCAAAGGACAAGCTGGAATTCAAGTTTTCTTCTATCCCTGTTAAGGTTTTTAATTTTTTCCAGATCATGCATTAAAAAAAGGGAAGAATTCTTGTGATGAATATGAAAACATACCAATGTCTGAGAGCTATTGATAAAGTCCACTGTTTTAGTCACTTTCTTGACTTTCACTGATGTTTTAAAACAAACTTAATAAAAAATATAAAAACCTACCATTCTGAACTCCGATGATAATAATACCCTTCAATTGTGGCTGCGGACTTTTGAAGGCACACGTAGTAAAAACCAGCAAATGATGCCCCATTTATATCTGTGATAGTGTGATCTGGAACAAGGAAATGTTCCTGTACATAGAAGAAAGTGGAGAATTGGCAAAGAGAGTAATATTGGATTATGTAAAAATTAAAATTATCAGCCATTTACTTTTCTCAGCAAATATTCATACACGATAGCACTGCAAGATCAGCTCACCTATTTTGATTTATGGGAAAATATTAAAATGTTGAATTAAATTTAGGGCTTATACATATACATACATGGTACAAGAAGCAGAAGCCCTTAGAAGTCAAACTCCAAGATATCACTTTAAATCCAACCCCAAACCACTCAAGACACAAAAAGACAAAGACTGGAGTTCAGATTCACTCAAGCAACCACATTATCACCAGTCTAAAGGCCAAACTGAAAACATGACATGATTAACCTTTAACTTATAGGCATTACACTTTACCTTTTCTCTAATAAAATTGCATAGACTAGGTTTTGGTGATATATGTATGTACTCGTATACTTCTAGTTGCAATGTTTTTTGTGTTGTGACCAAACACAACAAAGATCAGGACAGGTGAGCAAGGCACAAAACCACAAACTACAGGTATGTGCTTGCAGAGTTTTTTTTTTCCATCTGATTGGCTTTTTCCTAATGAGACAATAGCATTCCAGTTCTAAATATTTCTGGTGTTAACAGTTTTCTTGGTTTCACAATAAGTAAAGTTAGAAAATAATACCTTCAAATAAAATTGTAAACAAGACCTCCATAATGGGGTACATTGGCCTTTGTCCACACAGGCAGCCCAATAATAATGATTTTTTTTTTTTTTAAATGAAACTGTTATTTTGATGCTCAACTTGCAATTGCAACTGTACATTACAAAGGTCGGCTGATCTATGAGACATCTTGATGTCTGTATTAACTACAATGTTTCACAACTAATGCATCCGTATCCCTAAATATTTACCTTCCATCTCATAAAAACGAAGTCTAAGTTGTCCAGCTGACTGTATTCAAAATTATCCGAGTTAAAATTTTTTGCAAATTGGTAAAATGCCAGGAACTTTCCCTGTTTTGAAAGAATGAAAAAAAGATATTAATATAAGTTCTTGCTTTCTCAATCAAGTAAGAAAAATAAAAGCTAAGCTAATAAGATAATGATACCACCATACCACAAATAATAATACAAGTTGAGGCAGCCTATATTAAAGGGACAGGTTCCCGGTTCAGCACATGCTCATTTATCAAAATGCTGTTTTTCTGCCGGGGCATGCTGTATCGTCTATGCAAGCAATATGATCATGTCATGATGTTGTCAAAGAACCAATCTGCACACTCCCCTGGCAGTCACTTGATCAACTTATGTGCAAATAGCTGTAAAGTAATCAACCATGGAATAAAACCTTCGGGCCAACAATAAATTCAACGTTGGTAGGGTGGGCATAATTCACTAATTTTTTCTGTGATTTTAGTACTCCTCCATCCTACTTCAGGTTACTCTGAAATACATTCTGAGATTGCTGAGATACATGAGTGGGATTATTCACCGACAGAAAGAATAATAAATTGGGAAAAAGTAATTTAATTAATGAGCATGCACTTATCCGTGAACCTGTCCCTTTAAACCAATCATTTGAGGCTTAATTTAGACCATTACCAGTCAAGTCACCAACAATAAAATATGGTGACAACTTAGAAAGTTACTTCTCTGTCAGCAAAATATTTATCAGCAAGTTCTATGAGACAAGAACAGTCTCAAGAAGGTTGAATAAGAGGAACAAATATCATTCAAATCAAAGTTCCAAAATAAATTTGTAAAGAAACCAAAATTATCAATTTGGCAATTACCAGTATTTTTTTTCTACATAAAACTAAAATGGTCACCAAATATTTTAATTTTTACATGAAGCAATGAGTTTGGCACAAGTAACTTGCACCTTAAGATTTAGAACAAGACTCCTCTGAGACCAAATTAACTTGAATTGTCTGTAACTAATCTACCAGATAAACTATTTATTAAATGCAAAAATTAATAAGTAACAGTTTATTACCCAGTGTTTCCTATCTACTTCCTCATCTGCATCCTAGAGATGAAAATAAAATATATAAATCATGAAATACATGATTGCACATCTACTATCATCAAAAGACAAATAATTTTGTTTAAGAAAATAATATAGAACTGTATTAAATATAAGCAGTTTAATTATGGTCAATACCAATGGAAAAAAGACAAGGTAAGAACTTCGTGTTATTGAGATTACGTATCACTTTTAGTGACTGTTCATTATCATTTATAAAATAACTAAGATAGTATGTGCATTCTGATTGGTTAAAAACCTATGGTTTATTGTGCTAGTAAACTCACACTTTTACTTAAAGTTATTTTATAAAAGCAATAGACCACACTTTCTATGGGTTTAAATCACTTGCCTTTGGCTCGTGATTTACAAGCTTTTCTCATGTTCTCTCAACATCCCGCGTGGGTTATCACGCTGGTAAACCCATAGAAAGTGTGGTATATTGCTTAAATAACTAAACTTAATACATTTCATGAGCTCCTCAGACATACAAAAGTTATCTCTTACCCATTTTCTTGTCAAAAAGGGATGTTTTTCTCCAATGATCTCTCCATCAAAAAAAGTTGTTAAATGAGGATATTCCTGAGGAAACGAAAAAAAAAAAAAAGTGATTAAACTGCATGAGATTAGCCTCTGGTTGAAAATAATCAGCCACCAGTCATATGCAGATTTGAGGGCCTGGTGAAAGAGGAAATCTGAGACTTCCCTACGTGCCACAACCCTTGTTTAAAATCTGAGACTGAGAGAGAAATTTCAAGACCCTGGAATGGAAAGAAGCACACAAAAACTGGACTTTGACACTCATTAAACAAGTTTGTGAGATCTTGAGATTGGAACAAAATTTTCTGAGACCTGATTTCTGGCTTTTTTTCACGTGACATAGTAAAAGTGGATGTATCTTACCCTTCTTCTCACAAAAGACATTGAGATAAAGGGAGGGTATGATCCCCAGTGAGGTACTTCCTAGAAATAGGCTAATGGGGATGTGCTGCTGGATGGGGTCGCATAATTTCACAACCGGTTTGACTACAATGGGGTTGTGTTTTCAAGAGAATATCTAAAATGGCGTTGTACATTTTTATGATTTGGAGGGTCAGAAAATTCAGGTAGGTAGGGATTTGAAAATGAAAAGATGTTTACTATATTAAGTTTAACAAATGTGTCATTTCAATTCAGAATGACTTAGTTTAAAGGCTGATAAGATAGATGCATAAAACGTTAGGATTGCGAAAATTACATAATTTGCCCAAAAGTGACAAAGATGGGATCTATAATTGGCTACATAGAAAAGGTGCTATAATGGGGTAGGGGTTCTGTCTGGCCAGCAGCATACAGGGTTTGTACAAATTTTTGGATCCAAAATTCAAGACTTTTTCCAGACTAGACTCAAGGTTATCAAATAGCTTATCAATACAGACCTCAAAAAAAAAGAAACAAAGCTTTTCTCACGATGCACAGCAAATGTACAGGCGAGATTGGATAAGATTTGACCAAAACAAAATAAAATTTCCCTTACAAACCACTTGTTGTACCTATGAAAATAAACTCAAGACTTTTCACCATTTTTCCAGACTTCGTCTCCATTCTCCAGACTTTTTTCCAGGTTTGAAAAATTGCTGGGCAAATTTGAATGCTTTCTCAAGAACTCAAGACTATGTACGAACCCTGAGCATATGACCAGCAAAAAGTGACCCAAGTAACCTCCCGGGTATGATCACAGGCTGTAGTAACATTCGGACAAAAAGGATGGATCTCTCCTTTAGTGAAAGGTACTTTGATTTTACTTACGGCAGGTTTAATAAATGTAGTAAACCAAAGCAGTGACAAGAATCAGTTTAGTGTAAAAAAGGAGAAGCGAGGCGATATATAAGAAAACGTAGAAAGATACAAACTAATGACCATATGATCCTTTTATAATTTATAAGAAGAATCTTTCCAGACGTCTGTTGTTGTTCACGACAATCCTCACATCACTAAACAGTACAAAATTTTTTTGACAGGAGTACTATACAACAGGAAGTGTATGTACTATAAACATGTGTATTTTCGCTAAAAATCTTCCAGAGAGGATAAATTTGGAAACAGGTTAAATAAAAGTATCGAAACTGACACAAAGCTAGCAAACCTTTGGCATAAAGGGAGTACTTTGTACAGCTTACGTTCAAATTTTATAGCTAAGCACAACATAGAAATCTGTATTCTACTTTATAGTACTTACATCAGTTAGTCCTTTAATTTTTAGATAACCACAAAGAAACCCTTTCTCTTCTTCTACGTGCTGAAAGAAAGCCACATAATTGAAAGGAAACTCTTGAACTAAGGCATAGAATTTTTCAGACGACAAGAAGGCCGCCAAATGCAAACCGGCGGGAAATGACACGAACAATCACGCGAAGTTTACCTTCAACACAACTTCAACGTCGTATCGATTTCCTTTACTTTTTTGGTGTCCCTGAAACCTGCTACCACTGTACAACAGCGACTGAGCCAAACCAGGCTGTTTCGTGCCTGGGGGAAGGGGATTCAGGGCAACTTTCCCCGGCATTTCAAGAGAACTTTCTTCGAACGGTAGTCTTTTGAACTTACAAACGCCAGCCTTTGGCACTATGGGTAACAATTCTATTGTGAAATTAGTTCCCAGTCTCTGACTGGCGGTTACAACTTTGGCTTACGGGGTAAAGTGCAAAAAGGTAAGAAAAAAAATTCAGTTTTCCTTCATTTACAGAAATATTAATTTTACCCCACCACCTGATATATGTTTTTAACTTGGAGGAGGAGTGATCTACCAGCAAGAACCAACGTCAATGGAATTTCCGGCGTTTGAGTGCATACGAATTAGCCGGAAATGAAATATTTCTGTAGCACGGGGCAGTGGGGATTACGGCGGTTTCGAATTCAATGGACGCCTGCTACGCACGCTACTTATCACCTGGTCGCTGGGAAAGCATTCTAAGCCAACACCTCGTTAACCCCACGTTGTTATTCATTTATTAACTATTTGATTTATTAAGTGACAGATCGAGTTTCTTACGGGTTTTTAGCTTGTTTTCGTTAGTTTTCGTATAATTATTTTTGAACTTCCGTGCTTTGTTGGAACATGCTTAGTGAATGAGGGCAGAGACTTTCAAGCCTTGTAGCCTTCGTATAGGATAAGCTTTTCAGAGCATGAGTCATGGATCCTACCCAGATTTTCTGCAGATTTTTTCCCTACTGGTTTCTTTTTTTTTTCCGGCAGGTTTTTTTCTGGCCTTTGTTCTGACAGTATTCTTTGTTAACAGTCGCTCAGCTCTGTTCTAGTTTATCTACCACATGTTTGAATGTAATAGAAGTTGTAGTATAACGTATTGTTATATCTCTCGGTGCTCGGCCGAAACAGCCAAAATAAACCTACTGATTTTTCGGTTCATGTTGTACTGCGTATTTTACTATAATTTAGCGAATCCTCGCGCGCTGATTGGTCGAGAAATATGGTCAATGAGAGTATACACCATGGAAATGACGTAACATGTCACGTACTGCCGGTTGTTCTACTTTTTCGTAAAAAATAAATGTTATTGTAAAAAGCAAATCGACCACAATTTTCCATGGTCTACACTCGTATAGACCATAGAAATGACGCCATAAAATGTTCAAAACTTTGCAGTGAAACCACTCGCCTGCGGCTCGTGGTTCCACTTGTGTTTTGAACATTTTATGACGTCACTTCTATGGTCTATAAGAGTGTATACCATGGAAAATTGTGGTCGATTTGTTAAGTGGAGTCGAAATCTTGAGTTTTCCGGATTCGGATGTGGTGATTTGTCGTCAGAATTTTCTAGCCTGTTCACGGATATGAGGGGGTATAAGTATTTTCAAGAGAGAATGACCTCTTTATCTCTGAGTATTTCTTAATGGCAGCAGGGGAAGTTCATATTTCCTTTTACTGCCAACCTACGAGAATTTTTTTTACATCTTTCATCTTCTAGTACAATCTTTACTGCCTATTACACATTCTCTCTGACCAACAGTGCTGCTTTTCTCCGAGCAAAAAAGAAACTGTCATGATTAAGCGGCAAATAGCGGTACGCAGGGAGCCTTGGAAAGTTCACTCATAAATTTTTTCCTTCCTCCAGTCTCCCTGCCATTTCCGGGGGGTACTCAACAAAGTTTTTATACGAGGAGGCACTGCTCCCAGGGTCCAACCCCTAAGCCTTTTATATACCATTTTTGACAGAAAAAGTATCCCTTTGATATACAGTAAAAACCCACGAGTAAGAACCTACATTTTCCAGAGTTAGCCTAAACAGGTTCTTACATTAATTGTGGTTAACATAAATTTAGGCTATCTAGGTTCTTAATTTCTTGCAAAAAAATTATGTCGTTTGTAAGAAGATTTTAGTGATCAGCACCCTTAAATTTGCATACCTAATGATTGCTTATATTTTAATATGACCATAATAGAGATCTATTCTCACGTGAATTTTAATTTCTTGAGTCAAAACAACTTTATATACATGATTGTGCTGTAAAACACAATATTATAAACATTTTCTCAATGACCTCAATCAAACAACATTTATATATGTACAAACTTACCTTTTGCAATTGCAATTAGCTCTTTCGATAAAACAGAAACAACTGATTTTTGAAAATGAGAACCTTTCTCCAAATTTTAGGCTAAAGAAGTTCTTACATAGAGGGGCTCTAAATTGCAAATTTTAGCCTAACAGGTTCTTAAATCTTAGGTTCTTACTCGTGGGTTTTTACTGTACATTATATTGACAAATGGTACCCTCTTCACATACCTAGGTTAGAATTTTGCATCCCTTTTAACTGTTGTAAATGCACTGCCTTAAAAACATTCAAAGATTGACAACATCACAATAGACCTTGTCACGGTTTTCAACGCCATCTTGACTAGTAGGCAAACGCGTGAGAAATTACAGTGTCTGTATGAGAATCTAATGTCGAATAATTTCCGTAAAACGGCTGTTCTGAAAAAAATATCAATTGTAAACTAAGCAAAGGATTGTCCTAAAAAAATTTTGGGGGCGTACCTGTGCTTAAATTTCTCCAGAGGCTTGCTTTAGATTTTCCATATATTTGTCTAATTTTTCCGGGACTTTCTTACAGACAAATGTATAGAAAATTTAAAAAAGTGGTTGTAGGTCTTCTAGTGCATGTAACGCCCTCAAATTTTTTCAGGAGAATCCTTACGAGTGAAGCTTTAGTTTACAAATCATATTTTTTTCAGAACAGCCGTTGTACGGAAATTATTCGACATTAGATTCTCATACAATCACTGTAATTTCTCACGCGTTTGCCTACTCGTCAAGATGGCGTCGAAAACCGTGACAAGGTCTATACTCTGAGTGACACATCGTTAAAAACGCTTCACCTCTTTAAATTATCCCTAAATCTTTGGAAACCTAGGTTTAAAAAAAGAGATACAGTTAAAAACGGTAAAGACACCACACAAAGAGGGCATAGTTTTTCCTGTTTTATAAGCGAACTCAAGAGTTATACCCGAAGTATTAACTACACTTCGCTCGGTAAATAAATTAAACGTCGTGGAAGGTTTCAGATGCGGCTGTCTAGTCTGAGAAAAAATTGAATGTTAGAAAACGCTCTGGAATTAAAATAAGCAATTTAGAAACTTGCAGTAAAAGTATCAATGTCACTGAAAATCCGAGCACGTAACTGAGATAAAATGCGAAACGAACCACTAACTGAAAACTTGCAAATAGCTACTCATATAAACGTGTAGTCTTGAAGTCTTCTGACGCGTTTACCTGGGCTAAGAACGCTAGGAAAAATATTAACCTACAAAGGACTTAAAATTTAAAATACGCAATAAAAACTCGAAATAAGACCTAATTTGACGATGCAACAAATACACGTTAAAATCTGAAACAGGAAACCCAAGAGAAATTACGAATAGCTTCTATTATATAAGCGGGTATTTTCCAATCACTTTTTGCCTGTTCTTTCTGAGCTCGTTGACGCTTGCGCACTTGCCCCCTCTCTGCTTTTGTCACGTGATAGCGCAGACCCTCTGCCGGGCCCGCGGTGCTTGATTTTCCCGCCAACAAGAGGCGCAGGATGTACCGTAGGATCTATCCGCTGGATTGTACCCACAGCCTTTGTTCTCCCTTCTCTGAATATCATCCGCGTATCCGGTTTTACAAATTCCGGTTGTTTTATGAAACGGAACCGAACCATCGCTTTATCTCCCGTCCTTAAATGGTCTTTATCCATGTGAATTATTGTTGCTGTTTGTCGCATGCTTCCACAGTGTACTGAAAAGAAATATGGGCACCGGCTTTATTTAACAAACCAAAAAAACACACAGTACATGACAATTACAGAGTTGCACTAAATTGCAGACGTATTTCCGGCTCTCAGTTTCTTTTGCTTCTCTCCGTCCAAAAAGAAGAGAAATACGTCTGCATTTAAAGGGTACACAGCATTGACAAACTGCGTTTTATTCAACGAGAGAGGAACTCGACAATTAAAGATCACGTGACAAGAACGCGAGGGTTTCCTCTGACCACAGATCAAGTTTATAGAGCGACAAATATGTTCACCTTAACGTGCTCTAGGAGTAAAAGTCTTCAGAACAACCCGGTAATCTTCAACTAGAGGCCACAGCTATTTCGGGAAGTAAGCGAGCTTTGTAATCGGTAATCAGTATTGGCAAGTCTATTAGGACGTGTTCGATTGACCGTATTCCAGAATAAGAATACATGGAATAAACTCTTGAAATCACTAATCACGATAGGGTATGAATCACTGAGCTGTGGGCCATGTACAAGAGATTTGCAACATCTTATTCGGGAATTCAACCAATGGAACGCACCCTTAGTGTATTTTCAGTCATACTAACCCATAGCCTGGTATTTTGTACTGATGGTCGTCGGATGGTGAAGGACAAGAACTTCGGCTTCGAACTCCCAGCATGCCTGGGGCTTGACTTGTTTGTCAACCATTACCATTCCTTTTCTTATCTGTGATCGTTTGATCTGAAGTGAAAAGTGGAAATGGCTAAATAGTAACTTGGTAATTCAGTCCTCCTCTCGTCACGGCGACGGCTACGAAAACAACACTTAAAAAGTGAATTCGCGCTGCCTCAAACTTTATCGCGCTTATTCCATCTTGTTTAATTCGTCAAATGTTGGCAATTCGAAAGGATTGTATCAAAGCTCACGTAAAGAAAAAGAAAGTTGTTTTTTGTGTTCCCGTCCTCGACAAAACGTGAAAATAGGCATTTTCACGTTGTAGTCGTGTAACGACGGCAAAGAAATGTACAAAAAAGCGTGATGCACGTGCAAAGTTGTTATTTTACCAGTCTAAACGACCTTTCCCGCATTCCGCTCCTGTGAGCAAGCATAAAGAAATGAGGTCGAGGCTCGGGTGGACAATTTCATACAAATCACTGTATTTTGCCCACCTGAGCCTCGACTTGATGCTTTTGTTTACAGGAATGCGTTGCTTAAGCTCCCTAATTGTTACGAGTTACCGACATAAACCTTGATCTGTATGCAGTTATTTCAGTGGTCAATTCATATGTTACGGTAAATACAGAACAGACCTTTTTCAATGCAAATGATGCCGTCTGGCCTGCTCTAAGCTCTCTCACAGGCATTCTCTTACGATGAATTGTCTTGACTTGGATTGACTGAAACTGACCTAGTGGGTCTGGGCCGAGTAACAAGGTATCATTCAGTCGAATGGTTCCTCGGAGACACGTGCCGGATACCACTGTACCAACACCCTGAAAATTAGAAAAACAGACTTTTTGACTGATTCCATTAGCCTTAAGCCTGAAACAATTTTAAAAAATGTCACGAACTGAGATGCTTTGGAGAATTAGCACACATTAAGGAATGACAAAGCTACTTGGAACGCTGGCCCTTCGTTAACGTTAATTCCGGATTTTTACGATGGCCAATAATCAACCCAGTTGAAAAAATCAAATTCTTGTGGTTCACTCTACCACCGATCTGCATCAACGTTTCTCTCGAAGTTTATCGATTACTGCGCAGAGTCAAAACAACTGTTTGACGCTTTAGCGATATTTTCGCGGAACAGATTTAACTCGCACACAAAACCACAAAGTCTGGTCAGCAAGTTGCTTTATTTAAAGGTAAACCCACTGCCTGTCGAGGCTTTATCTACGGCGTTGTGACAGGGTAAATGTCTTACCGGAACTGAATAGGTGTCGTCGATCTGGAACTCAGATGGTTCATCCCTTTTAAAATGAGCGCGGATAGAAAGTAAATTGAGGAACATCTTAAGCAAGTCCAGATTTTCTCCTGTCACATTGGAAATCTGGAAAATCGGACACACTCTGGGGGAAAACAGCAAGAAACATTTGTTCAAAACACCTCACTAAAAAAAACAACCAACAAACAAAACAACAACAACAACAAGAACAAAGTACAAATTTATCCCAGTCAAAGCATCATAGTTTGCACCTCTAATAAGCAACCATTTCTCATAAAAGACCGCGACCACTTTTTGGGGTGAATGATCTTCCATTACTGAGCCACAACACCTTTATATAAGTAACCGTCAACCTGGGCATTTTATGAAGTCGCTTACAGGCGATACAACTGCATTATGAATGCAGTCAAACCTGTATCAAGCGAACTCTTCTGAATCAAGCAGTCATTTACCAAAGTCCCGGAAATCATTTCCCTTAGTTACGGTAAAACTGACCTGCATTAAGCGGTCACCTCTATTAAGCAGTCGTAGTCACCTTTCTCGAGGTGACCAAGTTCATTCCTATAATACCAGAAATTCAAATACCTCCTACTTACTTCCGGCACGAACGAATATAAGATTTTTTGATTTAAGATTGCAGGGTCCAAAAGCTTTCAATTCATTTAATCACAATATACAAAGTGCTGCTACTATATATCTCTCTTTTTACTGCGCTTTTCACAAACATGCGAACTCTAAAGTTCAAAAGCCGCCTTCACAATTGCGTTTTCGCTGCCGTCAATCATAATTACGATCACAAGCAACGAACCTCCTTTGTGTCTTTGTGTGTTTTGCCTAGCTTTAGGTGGTTAGTGTTTAGTGTTTGGAACTGGAAAACTTGGGCAATTTCATTTCAATTGTTTCCTAAGAGGTCCGTTAAGATGATTGACGGCAGCGAAAAAACGCAATCGTCAGTTGGCTTTTGAACTTCAGAATTCACATGACTTTTGTTTGTGAAAAGCGCAGTAAATCCAGATTGAAAACATTTCTCCTTACAGGGTTGTCATTAAGAGCCGGGGGCCGGGGATTTTCCCCAGCTACTAAGAGAGTGGTCCCCGGCTTCTTTTATTGGAAAATAGAAGAAAAATAGAACCAAAAGAAATCCCTAGCAGTTGGATTCCCCGCCTACTTGTTGTATTTAACCAGCAACTTGAAATCTTGGTGACAACCCTGCCTTATCTGATTCACCACTTGCCACTTATGTAATTTACACCACTTTTAATCTTTAACTATCATTTTTGTAATATATTGATTGACTGTATACTTTTTTCTGGCAAAATAAATAAACTGAAACTGAAAAAAGCTATTCACTCACCTCTCAGAGACAAAGTTTGTTGCTGACACAACAACATCATCAGGGTTTTGTACAATAACAGGGATTTTACGGCAACCAGGAGATTTGAGAATCCTGGTCAGGAGTTTCATAGTATCTTGTAGCACATTTGCAGGACACATGTCAATCTTGGTAACAACAACAAACACTGGGACATTCAGTGCAAGAGCCAGGCCAAGGTGCTCTAAAACAAAATAAGGCCACATTGTGTAACAACCAACCAAGATCTCGTGAGAAATATTGTTTCAGTAAAATATAATGACCTTAAAAAATTCCCACTGCAATCTTTGTAACATAGACAGATTTAATGCCTTTTGTTTTCAGAGGAAGAAATATTGCTTTTAAAAGAGAGCAAGGGAAATCAACTGTCAAATTTGAGGGGTAACATTGTTTTCCCTAAAATTCAAGAGATAACATTCTTTTGCCTTTAATTCCTTTTGCAGAAAATATTCATTTTAATTCAAAGCAAGAATCTTTAAAGGCACTGCAATGATATTAAAAATTAGAAAAATCTTTGAACAGTGCTTTTCAGACATTTTTATGACTATAAAAACTGCAAGCAGGATTAGCTCTGTAGTAGAGTGCTTGATTGTCGAGGGTGGGGGGTCAAGGGTTCGATTCCAAGGGCCAGACTAATTCTCTGGTGTTAAAATAACAACTATAAAATGAGGGTTCTGCCTTTGCCTTGCAGACGGAGAGACCTTCGCTTGGCGCGGATGACTATGTGAAATGGTGGTTCACACTCTTACCTTTCGTCATTCCTATAATTCCTGCATTTGATCCAATCTAGGAGGGAAAATTAGTGTAAAGGAAACTTTAATTTAATATATTAAACATTACTAACTGATGGCATTTTAAAAATTGAATTGCAGAGAGGAGCAACGCTGATATCATGGATTTTATAGAGTCCAGTTAAAATTGTTTAGAACTTCTTTGTCAAAATCTCACTGAGGATAACTTACTCTTTAGTAAATGGGTGACAATGTAGAAGTTTCATTGATGTGTTGAAATACATATCTGTTTTTTCACCTTGACTCTCTCTAGAATGAAAAGAAATTTGGTCCAGGTTGTCTCTTCCCACCCAGGTGTAGAAGTAGGTGCCAACGAACCAGGGAGAATAATATCTAGAAGAACAAGGTGTTTTCTGGATGCAGAAATTCAGTTTAAAATCTGGCTTTTTGGGCCATGACTATGTTTTGACTGAGAGCCCCTAAATGCCTTCATGTACAGTTGAGCCCTGTGTTAACAACTAAATAGGGACATCTCATTATTATGGACAGTTTGCTTTGTTCCTGGGACTTGGAAGCCCTTACATTTTCTCTAAATTCGAACCCTATTTATGCGGACAGCCCTATAATACAGACACCTCCATGGCCCTCTCAGTGTTGGTATTATCGAGATTTGACAATTTCTTGTGTATCTGAAATATTTTATGTACGTCATTAACCTTTCAGTAAAGAAATAATAACATTATACATGCATGGCAAAGGTTAGCCTGCACCACAGACAGAAATTAACCTCTGGTTAAGTCCATCTGTGAAACAGCACCAAAATCCACTTGTTCTGGGCCCCCGTTGTGTACCAGGATTTAAGTACGTTGCACCATGATTGGCCTGTTTAAAAAGCCATTGTCAATTTGCCAATCACGTTGAAGGGGAATTTGAAACATATTTCCAGTAATTCATTGAGTTTGTTGGGGTAGAACATGGAACACAAGGCAGGCACAGGTGTGTACTAACCATTAACATTGCAAAGTCTGGAACATGTCCTGTCATGCCAAAAATGGTTGTTTTTAAGTATCTTTCATGTCCTGCCAAATCAATGAATGTGATAACCTGGAAAGAAAAAATGTTTATATTATATGCTCGGTTTTTAAGGATGTCTTCGGTAGCAGATTGGGAAAAGGAGGTTATAGGCAAGGTATGTAAACCAAGTTTGGAAGCTTTTGGATCATTTAAGACACACACCTTTGAGGACTTTTGACATATTCTGGACCAGTCAAGTCCTCCACCTGAAAAAAAAAGAAAAAAAACTGAAATAAGGAATTTTGAATTTAATTTTACTTCTGGTGACTGCAGCAATGTATGTCAGGTAATGTTTTCCCTTATGATTGTTCAGAGTAGAGCTTGCAAGAGTTGTTGTTAGTAATGTTGCCTGATATTTCAATTAAATTTTTGTTGTTATATTCTATAAAATAACTAAGATAGCATGCATGCTCCGCTTGACCGAGAAGAGTGTTTGCACAAGAGTATGTAAATACAGTTGTGACCTCAAAATGTTTTGCTGTGCATGCAATAATCATGCAAGCACAAATTTGAAAGAGGTTTTGAGTTGAAAAGTTTACTTTATTTACCACTTCCTTGTCTGCTGAAACTTGGAAAATCTTTACAAACATGCTGTATCAATTTTTTTCACTTAAGCTGAAATTTTAAACGAGAAAAATCTGTATTTTCGAAAGCATCTTTTTTTGCAAAGCAAGAACTGAATATGCCTGCAAACCGTCACGTACAACACTTCATGACTGGTGAGAATTTCTCTTTTAATCAGTCACTGTCTTAAACAAAGAGTTTTGCTATTTTTTCTTGGGAAATTTATTTTTTTAAAAGCAACAGAAAACTTGTTCACTGTGTATGCATACATGTAAACACTCAAGTGGTTGATAGAATTCTAGCTAGACTTTGTCTCGGGTTAGCATAACTGTTTCAAATTCTCCCAAAACCTTCGCATATTTATATTAGGCTATGCATACATGGAAAATGTTTTCTATTTTGGAAATGGTTTGGAAAAGAAGTATAACCACATTTTATATGACACCCTTGAAAGTAACTTCTTTATGATGGAATTATCCCTTCCGCAAGCAAATGGCTTGAAAATTTACCGTGACTATCAGGCTTGTTAACCACATCTCCCTTGCTGTCAAACCCAAGAATGTCATTGCCAACACTGCTGGTTCTGCCGGATTCCATTTCATGTTTGTGGCGGAACAACCTTTGTCTTGCCATTCCTCTTCCATTGTCTAGTTCTCCATGGGTTAGTACTCCAAGTAAGGTACTCTTGCCAGCATCTACATTACCTACCACTGCAACTCTGATTAAAAGGGAGACAAATGATCCAGGTATTCTTCTGTAACTTCTTTAACTCAGTGAAGTAAGCATTTGAAAGTAAATGATTCTAAATGTTCACTGGAACTGGAATACTGGAAGTCAACATATACGTTGGTAAGAAATCAGACATTTCCATCAAAATGTTCACACAAAATGGGGTACAATTTCCTCTTAAATTCCAATGATGCCACTATAATGTGTCAAACATTCACTCATGATTGGCCATTGACAATCACCCTTCTTGTTTTATTTAACATCCTTCATGTCGTATTTCAGTTTGTTTGCATTTCAACTAGCATCCTTCAATTATCAAGAATATCAACTTTGTTATTGATGGTCTGCCCTGACTCTCTCTGCAATTTATGTGATATTATTTGTTGGGTAGTCCAGACCTGTAGAAATGAACAACAATCTTCCGCCCTATCCTAGGTAGGTTTCCATAGAACTCAGATGTGCCAGTTTACCTACTCCAGCTGAAGTGCGACATGTCCCAGATCAAACAGGTGCTGCATCCATCAAGGTTCACAAAGAATCCTTGTGGGAGACCACATTAATTCTGCATTGTTGAGTAGCCTGTTCACTACTGCTGTCTTGAAAAAAAAGAACTTTAACTAAATACATTATTTTACACAATGTAGTTATCAACGTACTCACCTCACTTCCATGAAATCATTCTCATCTGCCCTGACTCGCACTAAATACTCCGCAACAGTCCCCTCTTCTGCTGGCTTCTCTCTCAGCAAGACAACATCAGCATCACATGTTTCAGCTAGCAACTTTAAAGAATCTGCTGATGCTTTGAGGTCTTCAGCACTGAGGCCACTGGCTGTTCCATCTACATGTATTTTGGACATTGAAGAGATTATTAGAAGGTACAAAACATTTGTAATGTTTAACTCAAGATCAGGGTGTTTTAGTTATAAATATAAAAAAAGAACTGGGAAGAAAATCATTATTAGGCAAAACATGAACATGTCAGAGAGGGGACAAAGGGAGACCTGCAAAAAGATTTGGACATCTTTAGGGTGCAAAACTTTATTTTATTTATGGCAGGATTGATATATAATATTCCATTAATCATTGCGGAAAAAATACCTACCAAAACAAAAAGAAGACTACCTTGTTCTGTTTACATCTAACCCTTCTTTGTAGTAGAAATTTTACAGTATCCAACTTAAACACTAAAAGTAGCCAACAACTCTTGTGGGGCATTGATAACAACATTGATAACCCTGAGAGAGGCTACGATATGATGAAGACTCAGGTTTGGCCTCAAGGTTTTAGCCAGAAGGGTGTTCAGCCAGACTATGGACACCCATTTTTGGAAGAAATAAAAGGAAAATTCACTTAATCGCTTATAATTTTATGGGAATACATGCCTTCTAGACGGCAAGTTTTCAAAGTCTGGCTAAATTAGCCTGTTTGGCCTGATTATACCCAGCAACAACAGACTAAGATTCACAATCAAAGTAAAAACTGGGAGGAACTCATAAATGCATTGTAAAAAGTATTTACAAGTATTTTTTTTGGTAAAAAGTATTTATTTCAAGTTAAAATGATCATCATCATTATCATTTCAATTAGGTTGGTGAAAGCTGGTTAGGCAACACACCAACCATAATTTACAAAATATAAAAGTAAAACCTGCATGCAACAATAAGTAGAATAAAAAAAAATTAACTAAGGTTGTTCTTAAATTCTTCGAGGGATGAAATACAAGGCATATCAGGGAGGAGCTGATTCCAGTCTCTAGCAGTTCTTAGGAAAAATGACAACTTAAACACACCTTTCTTACAGTGGGGTTCAAGAAGCTTAAGTCTAAGGCTGCTCCTAGTACGAGTCTCAATCTTAATATCAACTAAACCATGAATAATTTTATGCATGAAGATCAAACAAGATCTTCTTCTCCTTTCTTCGAGGGTGCATAGATCCAGTTTGTTTAGCATGGAAGTGACACTTGAGGGCCAGTTATAATCATTTGTACAAAAGCGGGCTGCTGCTCTTTGCACTCCCTCCAGTCTGACAATGTCGCATTTAAAATGTGGATCTCAGGCAAAAGCCACGTACTCAAGCTTAGGCCAAACCAAGGTTACATAGAGTGTCTTTTTGATGCTATCCATACAGTACCAGAAACTTCTGAGCCTAATGTCCTGTTGGTGGCATTAGAAATTTGGTTTATGTGATCCTTCCATCTAAGTCTATTATCTATCTCAACTCCTCGGTATGGGTGGGATTTCACATTTTCTAGAAATTTACCATAGAAGTAAAATTTTTCAAGGGGTGGTTCCCACTTAAAAGAGACGCACCGACCTGAGTCCATAAAGTGAGTGAGTGACTCATTTCCATATCACATCTCACAGCAATAACTCCTGTAAATTGCCCTTTCTGGCATTCAGAGTTAAAAATGTGTTAAACCATAATGATTTGAATACAATTGACAGTAATGATGATGATGATGATGATGATGATGATTATGATGACCACCATGATGATGATTATAATGATAATGATGATGTCATATGATGATTATGATGGTGATGATATCACTGACAACAAGGGTTACATCAATAATAACATGACATGACAATGATTCATAAGGCTACAATGATTCACATTTAATGAACAAGGGAACTAAACAGACTCACCTCCCACTCCAATTTCATATATAGTTTCTCCATGCCCTTCTTCCAACCTCTCTTTCAGTTTATGGAGCAAAAGATCGAACTGTTCATCATTTGGGCTGATCAGAGCCACCTAAATGATTAACACCAATGTTTTCATTACTGCATGTATTTTTCAAACATAACTTTGGGATCTGAAGAAGCCAAAAGGAAAGATAGTGAGAAATCATCTTGCAGATCCAAAACATTACAGTCCTACAATAAATTGAACCTCCAGTCACATCTCTCTTTGTTGGTAGGCCACTACTTTATTTAGCAAAAATACCAAACTTTACCAGTCAGTGCAAAGCACTTGGAAACCCTGATAAGTGACCACTTCCTTTAAATTTCTTTGACCACTTTTTAGGCTGATTCTCCACTGTTTTCATCCTCTTGGAAGTGGCTACTTGACAAATGATTTGATCCCCTATGATAATACTACAATGTTATCCACCATGCAAAGACAAGAAATTTCTTCTTTCATCATCGTTCATACCAACAATATCCTGATATCTATGCCCAAAAGAGACATACCAAACATAACTAAGGCACATCAGAATCAGATGTGCTTTGGATTTGGTGTGTTGGTTTTAGACATGAGACCTTACCCTTTGATCAATGACATGTTCTGTCCCATTAAAAGTTCCATTTTCCTCAAGGTAAAGTTCACTTTCACTGTCTGGAGCAAACAGGTTTTCTGCACTATCTGGTGATGATCCTCTTTTTTTATTATTTAATGATGTCCCTGAAAATTTCTCTTCTACATTTATCGTTTCTGCTGCAGCACTCATTCTTTGACAGAGGGTTTGTGATCTGCATTAATTGAAAACACACAAGGAAATAAGTTATAAACAACAGAGTAGCCCAGTGCTCAATTTGAACCTGTCCAAATTACAGCACTGTCTCGAATTTAACTTAGCCTAAATTTCATTTAGCCACATTTTAAGACCACCATTATCCAGTGTAGACACGATCAATAACTATGAAAGCTAGTGGCTATTAGGAGCCAAACAGTTATATGAGCCTATCATGCTCACCACAGTGAGCAATATAACATGTAAATCCACATTTCTTAGAACATGTTTTGCTACCTTCAATAATTATGCTGACATGAGACATTATCAAACTTAGGCAATAACCCAGGACTCCACTGGAAAGGTTTACATGGAGAAAGGTCGAAACCAATTTTGAATCCACCAAGCAACTGGTATAAGCTTACTTTGAACAAGCTTACTTAAGAACAAAATTACTAACAGATAATGCAAATTACGACCATGCAGTCAAACAAAAGGTATTAAAAGCTAGCATAAGCTGTACATGAAAATAATCTCTGTTACGAGCAAACTTTGTTGCCTTTGATCTCAATTTACTACTCACCGTAAATTTTAAGCACGGCCACTCGTTGCTATACAGAGTCCATGGGTTTTTAATCAGATAAACTGAGAAATAAACTGGTGTCCACGATTCCTGGACTTCAAGGCTAGCACTGATCTAGATACGACCCTTCTCACAGCTTTAGCTCCACAACCTTCAAACTTCTGCACAAAGTGGGAAGATCATAGAATATACCGTTGATAACTTAGGTGAGGAAATGTGGTGCAATCAACATCAAAGCAAAACAAAACAAAAGATTACGGCTCCTCTTGTTTCTCATAAATGATGTCAATTTCATCAGCCTTAACGCAAGCGCGCAGTTTTATTGTCCCCAGTCCCCGAAAAAGCAGAAAGTCAGATGTTTTTCCGAAAACGAAATCTTTTTTTTTCTGATTTTAAACGATGTGTTTTGAAATGCGTCAAATATTCGTTAAGCAAATCCCATTTAGATAAAATCTCAAAAGAGAGCAGTATGGAAAATGTTTTTAAAAATTGAAAAGTATAAAAAAAAATTATCGGAACGGCGCAGGCAGCGGCGTTGCATCATAAGAGGTATTTCCTTCATGTAAAATCATCGACATTTTATGTAAAGTCACCGACATGTGTAAAAGATGGAAATATATCATGAGCGTCAAAGACTGATGCTATGTGCCGTTCACTCCTTGAACAATCTATTCCAGGACAGAAATGCATATAGTAAGGAAGATTTAGATGCCATTAGCTACCAGCTCAGCCCAGATGCCTTTGTAAATCCTCATAAAAACATGCTAGGTTTGGGAAATTATGATGTGAATGTAATGATGGTAGCTCTGCAGCAGAAGAACTATGAGGTTGTCTGGTTTGACAAGAGATTGTAAGTGTTTCCTTTGATTTTTGTACATTTAAGCTAATTTACACATTTCTGACGAACATGACTGTAAAACATGAATATATTTGTTGTTGTTGTTGTTCAAATTAAATTGAATAACTAAAATTTCTATTACTTGGGTGGAGCACCAAGTAAGGGATTTGCGCTGCTCAGTAATGTCACAAAGGTGCTTGTTTGGGACAAGATTGGGCACGCAAAGTCTGTAGGTTTTTGGTTTGAAACGGGTATTTCACGAAGTGAGAACCGAATTGCTTCGAGATATCTCGAGATCACTTCGAGTTCTTTGATTTGCTCTCTTTTGGCTTGCCCACCGACTCACCTGCAGCCTGTCAGATCAGATGAGTCTCCAAGTTGAGGGATTAGCCGACTTTGAGTTCTTTTGGCTAAGATAGAAATTTAAGTTACTCAAAGAATAAGTAATAAATAAAAATTATTATTATTTGTTCTGGCTTACCCGGAGTTTGAACCGACTCACCCACGACCCGTCAGATCAGATGCTAAGTTGATGGATTAGCCGATTGCGCCACTGAGACCTAATGTGGTTGATTATGTGAAAATTAGGCTATAATATCGTGCACTGTGGGTTTCGTGTGATAAATGGAAGAAAAGAGACAAAAATAACCACTTGCTTCAATTGAAAATGATTGTAACAATAAAATGATTTAAAAAGAGTAAGTAGTGAAAATTACTTGGTTTGCTGCTATCTTGACGTCTGGTTTTATTAAATTAACGATGGTCACAATGGCTACAAGCATTGGTTTGCTTGCTTCAAAGCAAAAAAAGTCAAAGATCAATCATTTGTGGTCTTCTGAAAGTATTAAGGAAAGGCTGTGATGTCCTTTTTTGTTTGTATTGTGTACGAATTTATCACCACTTTGTTCTGAAGGCCTAAAATGAAATGGACAACCATCCAGGGGGGGGGGGTACTCCGGATTTCAAGTGGCAGGGATGATTGAAGGATTTTTATGGGTGTGAAATTTTCAATTTCAGGGGTTTTTTGGGTCGAAAAATTTTGGTGTGTATTTTTTTGGGTAGGTTGATTTAAGTAGGTATTTATTGAGTATTCTAAACAATCTGAAGATTCGTGATAGTTCCTGCGTATGATCCCCACATATCCTGGCTGTGTAGTTCCTCTGGAAATCTTTATTGCTCGGAAATTCGGCGTGGGTTTTTTGGGGGGGTTAAATTTTGGTCCAGGGATTTTTTGGGGTTTGTTTGAAGCCCTAGGGATTTTTTTGGGTTTTGATTTTTGCCTCCATTCGATCATCCCTGTCACTTGAAATCTGGAGTTAACCCTTCCCCCGCCCCCCCCGGGCAACCATCCAAGTCATGGTGCAGCTTTAACTGCTGACCTCCGTGTAGCTAAAACTTAGGATATTGTAGTCTCGCTTCCCATGTTGTTTGAAGTGTTGCATATCGAAATCTTTTGAGCTTTCTACCTTTTCTTCTCATTTTGTCAGGCACAGCTTTCAACAAAAATGGAAAAATATTGTTTTCAAAGAATCTTGCAAGAGTTTGAGTTGTTTCCCAAAGGTTTTGATGGGAAAGATGATCATTAGAATAAAGATGCAGTGTAGCATGCCGTTTATCAGTCCTTGAGAATGTCTACTGTTTACATTACATTTTTTCAAGGGAAAAGGCCAGAACATTTTACATGTTTCCTTTTCATTCATTTCGTTATTCATTTCAGTGTTGTGTTACAAAATTTTGCAGGTATTTTCTTAGCACAGTTTCTTTGTTTTGTCTGTTGTTGTGCCGTCCTGACCGACAGTGAACTTAAGCAATACGACGGGAGAGGATAGAAGATGGCAAACCTTGAGTCGCAAGCGTGGCAATAATCTTGTTTGAAAAGGATTTCTCTCAATCTTCACCTTCCTTTAAATACCCTGCTAGCAGAAAGATCGAAGTGACTCTGCTAGGAGGGTATCTTTTAAACAGATCTTTTTGGCTAAAGACGAGAGTTTGAGCAATTTTGTCCACTCTTGCTCAGATGTGGAGAGCCAAAGGAGATGTCAGTACTTAACTTGCTTGGAATTGAGTTGGCCATTGTGATGACAATGCAACAATCTCTCACAAAAATGAAAACCATAGCAGCCTACGAGCAAGCTGTACGGTGTCTGAGAGAAGTCACGTGCGAGTGGCAAGCAAAACAAGACACGGTAACAAGGTCTGGGAAAGATGGTGAGAGTTCTTCATTTCCTCTGCCCCTCAGGGCTTTGCTGCTTGCTTGTTCACTCGTTTGCCACTTGAAATGGACAGGTTGTTCTCAGTCCATAACATTTCTTGGTAACTTTTTACATGAGTGTTTTCAGGACATTTACATAATAATAATTAACCCACAAAATAATATCTCACCTGTACTAGAAAACAATATTAAATACAATATTTCTTCATTGATATTTTTCAACCATAGTTTTCACCTCTTTTTTGTTTTTGCAGATCCTTAGAAACATTAAAACTTCAGCATATATTTGGATTTGTTGTAAACAAGCCATCAAATGTAAACATTATTGGAGTTGAAGTACCAGTCAAGAGACCTCACTGGTTTGCTGTTCGCAAAATAAATGAAAGTTACTATAATTTGGACTCTAAACTGTCTTCCCCGGAGTGTGTTGGAAATGAAGAAAAACTTCTCACTTTTTTAACAGAACTGTTATCCCTTCCAGCAGTTCAACTTCTTGTCATTGTTGAAAAAAGTGTAGCTGAAAACAATCTCTGGAAGAAGCAGTAAACAGTTCTATTGGGTAAAATACACATGTATCAAAAAATACAAGACATGGAGGAGCCTAGCCTGCAAACACAGATGTAAAAGTAATTTTTCGGGTGGAGAGAAGTGATGACTGGAAATATGCCTGCCTTCACAAGTTAGGATGAGCCAAGGTCTTACTAAATTTGTAATGGACATGGTTCCTACAATCTTGAAAAGGTCTTGAATTTTACTAGTCATCTTGAAAAGTTCTTGAATTTGGTTTAGGTCCTTACAAAGTACTGATTTCTTTATTAGGTCGTTAAAAGTCCTTGAAATTCCCAACCTTGTCTATGCCAGACATCTTTTTCTGTAAAATTAGATTATTTTGCCAAGGAAAATTTAGCTCATCCTCGGTGTAAGAACCAGTAAAACTCATGGGTAAGGTAAAAACAAGTCTTGTCGCAGAAAGTAGTGTAAAATAATGAGATCATCAATGGCTGAAGAAGTAAAAATCGTAAATAACCCCATGACATGTTTTAGCCAATAGGGTGATCAAAGGGGGTTAAAGAATGCCGATTTATAAAATAAATCTTAGTCCTTGAAAACTGTATAACTGTGTGTTCAGTATCAAGCATGTATTTCGATCCTCTCATCAAAAAAAATGTTAGACGCCAATCATCTTAGCGGACCTCTTAGGAAACGAAAGTTTACTTCAACGGGTTCAAAAGCTCATTGTTTGTGATTTGTGATTGGTGGATTTCGATCCATTTTGTGTGTTTCTGTGTTCCAAGGTTCGTTGCTTGTGATCTTATTGTGACCAAAACCCGACGTTAATATTCCAAATATTTTTGATAGATTTCATCCCTGGACTTCAGACTTCAAAATTTCGATGAGGCAAAAATACTGAAGATTCAGATTAACTTTTGAGATCATAAAAGTGCGATGAAGTGCCGTGTGTTAGCAGAGCTTTCTCTCCCACGTGCCTCTTACCTTGTACAAGACGTTCGCATGGCAGACATTCGCCTCACTTCGCTTGTTTACTTGCCTTGTTTACGTCAGCACTTATTGCGTGCCTATTGCACATTTGCGTCAAAACAAGCCGTTTCCATTACTCTATTTGGACCACGCCCAAATAATAATTTTGGTTATATGTATATAAATTGATTTCAAAAAAAGATATCTTGCAAACGGACTTGCAAGGAAAACAAAAAAATTCATGCACAGAGTTATTAGTCGCTATAATAAATTAAGGATGGTTGAGGATATAAGCATGAACTGGGAAAGACAAACTTTAGCAAAAATTTAGCAAAAAAATTTAAGAGGCAGAAAACATGACGTAGCTAAGCTTGTCCTCGATTAAACCCCTTGACAGTAGAAATTGGTGTGGGAAAGTAGCCTGGTCAAAAGAAGGGAGCCGCAAGGCAGCACGGGAGGTGGCCATGACGACTCGGTGGGGGGGAACCAACACCGTTAAGGGTGATATCACGTCATGGGTGATAGATTACTCCTTAATTTTGGCACGAAATTTCAACGTTAATTTATAATTTCACTTGTGAAATTACAAAGTTGCCATGGCAACGTTCCGTACGTCTCAGTGCTAAGATGGCGTAGAAAATTCAAAATGTTATGAATGAAGATGTCGGGGCAGGGTATTTAAACACAGGAAAAAATAACAGATTCCCATTTTTGGATATTTTAGGTTATTTAAAGAATACCCACAAAAATCCCAAATTTGGAAGAGTGAGACAAGTCCCAACCAGGGAACTTGGTTGGGAATTCCCTGGTTGGGACTTGTCTCACTTTGCCAAATTTGGGATTTTTGTGCGTATTCTTTAAATACCCTAAAATATCCAATATTGGGAATCTGTATTTTTTCCTGTGAAAGACGTTTTAGAAAACCTGAACACACAAAAGAACCCATCAAGAACTACTCTAACAAGTATTTTGCCGCAATACCTGTTGATACTTGTGAACTTAACCCAAATTTTAAGATCTAAACCTTTCAGTGCGTGGAGTTTTCGATAAGATAAATAAGAAATGCACATAAAATCACTTTTCCTAACCCAACTGACTCTAAGAATTAGTCAATAGGGCTGTGGATACTTTCGACCACATCCACTGAGGACGTGACATTTACAACCGGAAGGACAAGTAAAGATGCCATGCTGCACCATTCTCCACAAGAACAAATAATTAATAATTTATTATTGGAGGAGGGAGAGAAAAGTTATGTGTTTCGTCAGTTACGATCAGTTAGGAGCAAATTGTTTTATCATTCAATCAGTACGCTATGTTTGTTTTGTAATTTACTCCATCCTGATGCCAAAAACCCGAATTACATTTTAGCGCTAGCGCATGCGCAATCAGTTTTTTCCTCCTTGATTTATTCGCTTTTCCCAAGTCTTTTTTTCTGTCCCTGGTCATTTACAACGCTTTATTTTAGCAGGAAAAGGTTTTCGCAAAACTCCCCCGAAGTTCAAGAAGTGCATTTTAAGGCATTTCAGTGATCCTGTGAAACAAGAGTTTCATTGGAATATTTTCTAGTTAAAGTTACATTATTTGTTGCCCATTTTCTCGTTTATGTTTCATTGAACGGCGCTTATTCGGGTATGGTTTCAAAGATCTTGTCCCCCTGCAAGTTGACAATGACCAACCTCGTTCCCAGAGTACTCTCTCTTGCTTCAAGAAAGAAAGATTATCTCTCGGAGCAAGAGAGAGAACACTGGAAAGCTCCAACCTGTTACTGGCAATTTGACTACTGCAGTGCTCACCATTTTCCCTGCACCAATGTGTGCCCGCAGGAGACCGCCAACTTCCCACACGTCTTTCAAGCGAGTTAAAGAAAATTGAACCGACATTGTTTACCAGTAGTAGACAATACGTTTGACCAATCAGGTCAGGACAAATGCGTTGCTCGATAAATCTAAAATGACGGCTCACCTTGTGTTGAGTATCTATCATCATCGCGAACTCTTGTTGTTTTTTTAATTTGTTTTTTAAGGCATTTTTGTAGTCGCCAAAAATTTCTCTGTCTCGATATTACTTGTAAACATTTGTTGCTAACCATTTTTTTAGGCCCTCCCTTGCTCCATCCAAAGTATAAATCTCGCAAACATTTTCAAAACTTAGCGCCACAGTGATAGATCATAGACAACGATCACTCATAGAGGACGTTGTATTTCATGGAACATTGTATAGAAGAAAAAAGTCCTCAATAAATTTGAGACGCCTCTTTAGAAAGCGAAGTAAACAGAATGAGACAAATAAATACGAATATTAAGAATTTCAATTCTCTTTGTCTTTAGGCATAGTTTTTCCCCTTATCCCATACTTTTAAAAACCTTAAATACTATGCTTGTCGCTTCCTCTGAAAGAATTTTTTTTTACTTATCACCGTTTGCAGGATTTTTATTTTAGACAAGTTTCTCTTGCAGGATTTTTTTTGGGAGATTGTCACCCAACTCCTTGTTATTTCTAATGGCCCGTCCCTTAGTACTGACAAATCTCCTTCTCGTAGTCGTCCTCGTCTCAGAATCTAAATCTCTCTATTGTTTCGGTGAGAAAATTCACTGGTTTCGTGTGTGGACGGAATACCAGACGGAAGGCCGATTCATGTGAAAAAGATATGTAACTGTAAATGCGGTTTCCAAAATATCCGGATTTGCGTGAACGGGGCTTTCCAACGACGCGACCGCAACGAGAACGTCCCTTAAAATCTGAATTTGCGTTCTTTCAGTCTTTATAATGATTATTCCTACCCACTTACTTTGTCAAACGTAAGCGAACCCTCCTGAAGTTGAATTCAAAGGGACCATATCCAAGTTCTCCATAAAACGCGAAATTAGGCATGTTCATGTCGTAGTCGCGTGCAAAAACGGTAAAAAAAAACTTAGTACAAAAAACTGTGATGCACGTGCAAAGTTGTTCTTTTGCTTTTTAAACCTATTGTTTTTTTTACGTTTTCGTTGCGGTCGAGTCGATGGATCTTAAAATCCCTAGTGTCAATCTACCAATACGACCAGAATCATTTCGTCTTTTTTTTCATATTTAATTCGGCAAGTTTTCAAGTGAAAGCCAAATTCTGAAGGATTCTAAAAAGGGCCGTTTTCACGATTGCGTCATTTTACTATACCAGACTCCTTCAGGGTTTTGCTTTCTTGTGCAGGTAAGGGCTTTTGTTATTTAAACCTCAGTTGGATTACCAAATTTAAATATGAGAGAAAAAATGAAATGAATTCCTTCACTAGTAAAAACAAGTCATCGCGTAAATAGCCAATTAGACCCCGTTGACCCAGTAGCCTTGCAGCAGTACTGTTCGGAAGATACCCCTATGGGTCGCAGTGCTTTTGTTTTCGGGCTGGGTTCGAAACTTTGTTAGTTCATATTGTTTTCCCAACCAATAACGTGAGGTCTTCCAAGAAGTGCAAGGTCGCCCCCTTATATGAAGAAAAGTCGCCCCGAGTAGAAGAGTCACTCGCCTACCCGAGCTACCCTGGGCGAGCCAACATTAGACTGCAAAACAGTCCATATTTTTGCGTATTCAAGTACGCGCGAGCAGTCAAACAAAAGGTCTGGAATGAGGCTGAATACAGAGAGCGAGACTGGGGAGAGACGCTAATTTTTTTCTCTCGCCTCACACGGCGTGTGAGGCTTGCGCGCGTAAGACTCTTACGCCACGCTTTACCGATTTCTTTACTGATTTTGAGAAAAAAACCGACTGTTTTGCAGTCTAAGCCAACATTTGTTACATTTCCTTACCGAAACTTGGCGTTTAATTACACTAAAAAACAAATAGTGGGTTCGGCTAGAGCCCTTTTTCGATGGTAAGGTCACCTTCCTAGCTAAGTCAACTTTTCTCCAAGTAAACACTTGGCTTGCCAAGCCGGCTTTACTCGGTTAAGGCGAGAGAATCAGAAGATCGATGCGAGAGCGCTGTTTTCAGCTAGGGCAAAAGGGTCAACCGATTCTCATATAAACACTTGCTTAAGTTAACTAGGGCTGGGAGGGTGACCCCGGGAAAAGTTTTCTCTATATAAACGGGGCCTCATTCGCATGTTTTCTTGATATAGGTTCAATAAACAAAGCAATAACTCTTGATGTCCATCACACGTTTTTATAAATTTATTCGCCGTTACTACGTTATACGGAGGACATAAGCACCCAAACACAAAATTTATTTTTCTCTATTTACACATTGATGTCAGTGCTCCCTAAAAATTCAGTTCAACGGAAAAATCACTTAAATTTGACCAAGTTAGCCAATTAAGATAACCCCCACAAATTTTAAAAGTACGCCAAATAGCTTTATAAATGACGTTTCGCTACCGTCGCCTCCCTAATGTCGGGCGTATTAAATCTCGAGCAACTGACGTTCAGTCGGAGTCAATCTCTGTATTTAACGTCATACGTCTGCTTTGGACTAGAAAAGGTACCAAGACGATCGAGGAACGGACCCCACGTAGTTTTGCCTTCTGGTTCTCGCGTGAAGACCCTAGCCAGGCTAAAATTGACCGGAGACCTCAGAGACGAAAATACCAGTCACCTGGAGCGGAGAGGCGACGG